CCGCTGCAGCTGAGCAGCAGAAAGACGGCCGGCTCGAGCGTCAGCGTCAGCGTCAGATACGTCTGCAGCCAGGGCGAGTAGTTCTTGAGGTCAATCGTCCAGAGTAGCACGTAGCCGAGCACGTACGCGCAGATGCTCAGCAACCCCTGGAAAATGCTGCGGCCGCTAGTGACGGCCTGCGAAAACGAGTCCATCGGCCGCAGCCAAAGATCTGCGTCGCTCATCGAAGATGCTCGGCGGCAACGCGGTGCTAAATAGTCTGCAAAACGGACGACGCGGTTGGCAAATTCGCAAATTATTTTGGACGCGTGTTTCAATTTTCCGCCCGAATAATGGTGGCTTTTCCCCGCGGCATCAACTCGGCCACGCTTATTTTCACAATTTTCTGCTTTTTGCGCGCGGCACTTACCGTGTCGGTCGACATGTACAGATCCGCGCCCGTCACCGCGCTGCAGTAGAACCCCGCGCCGTTGCAGCGCACTCCGCGCGCGCGCCGGCGCAGCACCACGCGCAGCTCCGAGTCCAACGCCACCAGGCGGCCAGAGTGGTCGACCGCAACCACGCACGCGCCGACTCGCTCGAAGCAAACCACGCGCCCGATCCAGCGCAGTTTTCGCGCGCGGCTGTGGTTGCCGCGAAAGTCGAGCAGCGTGACGCGGTTGCGCGAGTCGAGGAAGACCAGCGCGCCGCGCCAGAAGTGCGCGTGCGTCACGCGCGTCCGCGACCCGGCGAGGCAGAGGCTTGCCAGCGGCTGCTGCGTTTCGACGAGGCTCGCGGCGGCGGGCTCAACGTGGAACACGGAGACAACCGGTTGCACGTTCATGAAGCCGTAGTCCGCCACTGCGATCAGTGCCGCGTGCGCGTCGAGCCGCTCAAACGCAAGTGGAATGCAGTTGCGCAGCAGGTAGTGCAGCTCCGCTTTCTCGGAGCGCATCGCCGCGCAGTCCACAAACAGCGAGTGGCAGACGGTCGGCACGAACAGCGAGCGGCTGCTCTGCAGCACGTGCAGCGTCTGCAGCCGCAACGTTTTCTCGACGTTCAGCGTCATGCGCGGCACCCAGGTTTCTGCCGTCAGCGCGCCAAGCGGCAGCAGCGGGAACGCTTTGAAGCTCGCGTTTGCGACGTTGACCACTATCTGCTCGCCGCACGCCACGAGGTTCAGAATCGCGTCGTCCTCCTTCAGCAACCGCTCGGGAGCCGCCGCGCCGGGCCGCTGCAGCAACACTGCGCCGTGCAGCGTGCCGACAAACAGATGATCGGCGACCGGGCACAGCGCAGTCGGCGCGTCGCGCGCGTCGGTGCGCATTAAGGCGCGCACGAAACTTTGCGTCTGCGGAAAAAGCCGCCGACAAGCTGCTCGGAGCGCGCGCATGGGCGAAGCGACAGTCAGATGGCGTGCGAAGCGGCGAGCGCAGCGGCGACGGCCGAACCGCACATGATCAGTTGTGAGCTCTGTTGCAATAATAACGAAAATTTACTACAAACTTGAAATAGCCGCAATTTCGAACGCGCGGGCGGCTTCTGACGCGCAGCGGCGAAAAAAATAAGTTGCGCGGAAGCCCGCGCCGCGGATCGGCCGGCTAGCGCGGAACAGCGCGAAGCTGGTCTAAACTTACTCCTGATTCGGCGAGGCGGGCCGCTTACTCGCCGCGACGTCTGCGCTGAATTCGCACAGAGCGGCGTCGAATCTTCGCAGGCTGAAGATCTTTTTAATTACGTAGTTGCCATACTGGTGCGACACCAAGAGGCTGAACGGTTTGGTGCGCAGCGCGGGGCTGTAGCTGAACGTTTCGCGCACCAGCGGCTCGACGAGCGCGACCTCGCAGTGCTCGAGACAGAACTGTACGACGTTGCTCGCGATTTTGTGGCAGCAAGTCGAGACGAAGCTGCGTCGAATTTCAGCTACCACGAGCGCGTGCTCAGTGCCGAGCGTTGAGCTTTGCAGAATCGCTTGCACCACGTAGTTCCCGAACTGGTGGAACATCAGCACGTTGTAGTGTTTTCGCAGCGGCTGCACGAGCATGTTTAGCATCTTCAGCAAAAAATTGTACAGCATGAAGCTGCCGCCGGCGCCGGCGCCGTACGCGCGAACGACTGCGCGCCGCGAGAGGTTAATTGCGTCGTCGAACCGCGTGATCAGCGTGCGCATGATGCGACAGCCGTACGAGTTCAGCGTCAGCTGCAGGTAGTGGTCCTGCAGTGCCGCGGCGACGTCGCACATGATGTAGTCCGTCGCGTGCGTGAGCAGCGCCAAGATGACGAAGTTCGCGTGCGGATGCATGATGCAGCTGAGCAGGTACTTGCGCAGGTTGTTGTAGAGTAGCTCGAGCCGCGTCAGGCGCGGGTATTCTTCCCCCAGCGGCGCAGCGTTCTGCATGCAGCGGTCGATGAACGCCTGCACGATGCGGCAACCGTTCACGTCGAAACTGAGTTGCAGCACGTGGTGCTGCAGGTACGAGTCGTAGAACTGCTCGACTTGCGCGGCGCTGCACTGCGCGAACAGTTCTTTGAATTTCGCGTTGAATTGGGTGTCCAGCGCGTCCTTCGCCTGGAACATGTTTTTGATGTTGTTCACCAGCTCGGAGCTGTTTGCGGCGTTCGATGCGACCGACACGCTGCCTTGGAAGCCGCCGCACTCTGCGTCGGTGAGCAGCGGCCTGTCGACGGGCGCGGCGCCCCAGCCGGCTTCGTCGAATTTGCAATAGTACATGCTCGACGCTAAGCGCGAGGTCGGCGCGTTGGCGACGTTCCACGCCGAGTGTTGCGCGTGGCCACTGAGGGGCGGGAACGCGTCTGTCGACTCGCTCGCGTCAGGCTTCAGCAAGTCGAGAGCCGAAGCGCGGGGCGCGAGCGCTTTGCGACGCGCTGCGCGCCCGCTGCCGGCGGGCTCGCGGCAGAGCTGAAACTGCGCGGCGTTGCGCGCGCTCTGACGCGGCTCGAACACGCCCCGCGATACAGAAGGCAGAGTCGTTTCCGCATCGGGTGTCGTGCAGCAGTTGAGCTTGAGCGAGTTACAGTCGCCGTCACGCTCCGCGCGCAGCGCGGGGCTCGCCGAGGCAACGAAGCAGAATCCGCGGTCTACGGGGCTGTGCCAGCCGGCTGCCGCGGCGGCGGCGCCCTCCGACTCGCCGGGCAGGCGCTTGACGCCGGGGACGGTCCATGAGTCTCTGGCGAGCGCGGAGCGCTCGGGTCGGCTCATGAACGCGGAGGCTGCGCGGAGTGCTCTGCGCGAGGTACCTTTGCGAAAGGCTAGGCGCCGAACTGCCGATTTCGCATTCGCCGCAAGAAACGCTTAATTGATAGAC